TAGCATGTCCAAACAGTCTGATTTTAAAATAGTAACTAAAATAGATAAACAGGTGGGGATTAAAAGATTGGCAGTATTCAAAGGAGGGAAAATAACTGATCTGGTTGGGATGGACAAAAAGCCGTAGGATAAATCTTTCATTTGACTGCAATTTCTAGCCTGAGTAGTAATTGCCTCAATCTTTCCTTTTCTCTGCCTGATTTGGCATTGAATTTGCCATTGCCGTCAGTCCTTCTATTTAATTCTGAATTCATTCATTTCTGGATAAGAAAATTAAGTGGTCAAATTGTTCACCAAGATCTGTCATTACTGTATTGTTATCATCTTACACTTGCAGCACAAATTTTTATAACCAAAATATGCACACCCAAGACTACCGAGGTATGTCATAAGACAACCCATTTCAACCAAATGTTGGCAATTATATTCTTTGGAGCAGATTGTTTGTTTGTTTGTTTGTTTGTTTGTTTGTTTTTGTTCTTTTTAAAATCCTGTCCTGTGCCTCACTGAGAAATACAACAGGAAATTTGGTAGTATATCAATAAAAATGACTCCTTGTTGAAGGCATTTGCTCATGAATTAACCACGTGCTTTATGATGTAAACACAATTTAGTGAAGCTCCATTCAAGAACACAGAATCTAGTTAAGTTCTGACATTACGATTCTTTCTCATATCTTGTATCATTTCTTTTCCTAGTGTCCCAGGTGTATGCATTGTGAAGCAAAATTTGACTTTCTTACCAGAAAAGTAAGATGTTCTACATCTATTTATTATTTATTTGATTTATCAAATGTTAAACATTTACATTAAAGGTTCAAATTAAAACTTTTTTGATTCTAAAGGAAAAGTAAGATGCCTCCGAGGAATGTAGTAAGTTGAAATAATTCTGGTATCTTTCGCTAAAAGAATTGGGTAAAGTGCTAACAGATCTTAGATTCACAGTGAGAGCTGCTCATCTTTGCAATGTCTGAGGAGGTGTCTCAAGTCTTGTGTGTCTGTCAGTCACTAGTGTGAAACTTCTGTTAAAATTACTTTGTCAACACTGATTTACAATTAATGTAAAAAAGAAGCAATTATAGCAGCTAGAGAGAATATTAAGATAAAGATTGTTATGATTGGATTTTTCTAGACTACCCAGTGGTAGCTGATGTCCTGTTGGTAATAAGATATTGTCAGCTTATCTGACTCTCACACCTGTGTGATGGAATCACTTAATGGAAGCAAAAATGAATTATAAGAAAATATGCATTTTTAAATTAAGCTTTAATACTTCATAATCTTATTTAAATAAGATTCACAATCTCTTGCTGCATTTAAATACTTTTTTTTATTAAAGGAGTTAAAAGACCACATAGTCTCACAGTATAATAAACTACAAAGTAATTGCTTGTTTTTCACAGAGCAGTTCAAACAATACAACTGTTACTTCCCCATCCCTTTAAATGAGGCATAGTAATTCTTGAAGTTTACATGAAATACAGTTTTAAACTGGTATATCCCTGTTCAGTAAATAAACTGTTTTTGAATGCATCTCTGATTTTTCAGTATTTGTGATTTCTGTTTAAATCATTTGCTTGTATTTGACTTTCTTTCTCCTCCTCATTATTCTGAAATTGGAAGCATCACTGCAGGAGATGTGGAAAATGCTTCTGCGACAAATGTTGCAGTAAAAAAGTACCTCTTCCACGAATGTACTTCATAGATCCAGTTCGACATTGTGCTGAATGTGCTCTGATTTCCCAGAAGGAATATGAGTTTTTTGACAAACAGATCAAGGTGCTGATAAATGGTAAGACCTGTATTGCTTGTTATTTTCATTAATTGTTATCTCCAAACACTTTAAACAGGTTTACTTTTATGACTTATATTGACATTAAAATGTTTTAACACTTTTTACATAAATATATCATGAAATTATTTTGTGTATAACTCTTCTTTTAAATTCTGTTGTAATGTGATTTAAGTATAGAAATGTATTGGCTTGTAATGTTGCTCTTTTAAACACATAGTTAAAATAACTTGGTGAAAGTGCATCAGTAGGTCTTCTAATGTTTCTGGCAGTCATGTGCTGGGTTCAGACATAGTGGCTGCATGTGCCAGTACCTGCTATTAATGTGTGATAGTAGTTAACTGCAGTCATTTAGAGCTTTGCTTGATTTCCACATTTTTGGCAAAGATATTCTCGATGGGGATATCTAATGATCACTTTATCCTCCAATCTGGAGCTTTAAGATCATTTGACCGCCGCTAGAAGAGGGTGGGTGGGAGCTGAAATTGGCATCCTAAGTAAATAAATTACTAAGGGTCAATTGAACCTGTTAAAAGCTGAAGCACTGAGACTCCGCACTTAATTTGCATTGCTAGAGGGGCCATAAAGCAGTGATTGTTAGATTTGAATGGATAATTTTAATACTTTCTGGTGAGTTTAGCATAAAGTACCACAAGTATGAGCCATTCCATGTAGTTAAATCCTGTGTCACTTGTATACTGGCAAAATACTAGTACAGCACTGCTTTTGAAGGATTGAGACATCTCGAACCACAGCTTCCTCATTTTCGTGTTTAACCACACATGCAATTGCCTGAAATGCAGTTCATCTTCCTCTTTAACGGTTATCCCTACTGTTATTTTGTTGAAAAACCTGAGCAGAAGTATGTTTAATGTTGGATAGTTTCATGCACCAATTTGGTATTTTCATTTAGTGCATTTTTTCCCTTTTAACTTGCTCATTTTCACCCAAACATTTCACCTTTCTCTCCCAAGTAATGTTGTATCTTGCTTCCATTTTCTCACTTTAATTTTGCTGTCAAGGAGCTACATTCCTTGTAACTTTGGGGTCCTTGGAGAAAGGTGAAACAATGGATTGTCGACTGTCAAACAACCACAGGTAGCTTTTCGAATGCTTTGGTTTTCAAATAGATTGTGTGAATATGGTTTACACAGTACATGTACTTTTTATGAACAATCTATTTTTAATGGTTCAGGAAACAATACATAAGCAAGTGTGGAAAACTATATAGTAATGAATTTGTAATGCAGTAAGGGCATAAAATATTCCAGAAAGCTTCACAGGAATGTTATGAAACAAAATACAACACTGATCCACATAAGCAGACGTTAAGTCAGATACCTGAAAGCTTGAGCATGTTAAGAGGAAAGAAGGAAATAAATTGAATTTTAAGAGTGAATTCTAGGACTTCAGAATCAGACCATTCGCAGGCACAGTCACGGACAATGGACTAATGAAAACTATTGACTCTCAATTAGCCAGAATCTGAGAAGTACAGCTATGTCGACAATTACTTGACTGGAGGGGGTTAAAGGTACTTTACAAGCTGTTGTACTGAATTCTCCCTAATGGTGAGATGAGCGAAATTGAGATACAAAAGTTGTTCTTCACTAGATTAGCATTGACTCTGCTCCCTATTTTATAGCAATTTCCAACTTAATCCAGAAAGTTGCAGGTGGTGAAGAGAAACAGTTCCTGCAGGATTCCACTAGGAACCCACCCATGGAGACTTTTCTTGCCATTTTTGTAACCACCTCTGTCTGCAGTAGTGCAACCAGTTACTTATCTACCAATCTTATGCATGTAATTGTAATTCATGACCTGCAATGCCTATCTAAAAGAACCACCATAAGAAAAGAAAATGTGTTTACTCCCTCAGAGTGATCATGGCTGCAGCAATGTGTTTCCTTAAACTGAATCTCTCCTTTCTTTCTTTTTTTTTCCTTTCCAACATCTGGGTTGGGAGCCACAGACAGTCAGTATATGTACTCATGGAGGCTGAATTAGGTACTGCAAACAACGGATAACAAGATTTAGAACATTTCCTACATAGGTGCAAAATCACGAGAACTGGCTGATCCAAATGTGAATGTCTTCCTTTTCTTGGGCAAGCTGAGAATGCTATTAAGTATATCATGGTTGTCTGCAAGCAAATGAGAATAATTTTTTTTTGCAACATTTCCTATGTATTATGTGTTCTAATACTGAATAATAAACACTTTTAAATAAAATATAATTTGAATCTATTCACCATTTTCTTTATTATAGTAGATGTTTACTTTGAACTGTTCAAGTTTTTAAAAAAAAAAAGAAATGATTATGACTGGTGTTTTGCTGGGGATTTTTTTGGCAAGCACTTGCCATCATTAGTGTCAGATAATTGATGAACCGTGTTTATACGTACACAATAGTTGCATCCAGACTTTATGGAAAAAAAAAGTAGAATTTCCTTGTTCTGAAATATTAAACAGATTCAGTTTTGTCCTCTTCCTATTGTTTTGAAGAACCCTAACCATGAACTACATAGAAACTAGAAACAGGGGTAGGCAATTTGATCCTTCAAGCTTTCTCCGCCATTCAGTATAACCACTGCTGAATGTCTATCTCAACATCACATTCCTGCTTTCTCTTGCCCCTTAATGCCTTTAATATCTTATCAAAAATCAATCTCTTTCTTGTTTTTTTTTTGGTTGTAAAGTAGAAGTTTGCCCCCACGCCATAACTAAAGCTAAAACACCCAGAGAGGCTCACCTTGCCCTATAATCTGTTAAAAGAAGTGTGAAAAGTGGTATAACATGTCTCCCTCCCCAAAACAGTTATAAAGGAGTGGTTAAATGAAATAAACTCCTGACACTCACTCTACAATCAACAAATAATAATTTTTAATTATCTAACTCTGACAGCGAGCAAATTAACTGAACAATTAACGAACAGAACAATTCGTCTCTAACTACTAACTATTCCCAAATAAAACAAGATTTTAATGGAATGCTGTTCCAATAAATACAAATCCCACTTGTATAAAACCAAAATAAAAAAAATTAGAACATAGTCTTTCGAAATTACAGCTAGGTTATGTTTTCCAGAATGTTTTGTCTTCTCTGCTGATCTTCTGTCAGGAACACCTCCATTGAATTCTTTTGTCAGGAATATTAACTAAGAGTGCTGTGGTACCTTTATTTAGATGATGCTTCTCTAAGAGCTGAGAGAACTGATCTCCTAAGCAGATGGCAGTTTGCTTTCTGCCAATTTTGCAACTGTCCCTGTCTTTTATACCCTTGATGACATATCAAGTTTCATACAATATGATTGGTCCTATGTTGTCAAAACCATCAGGTTTAAATTTTATCGAGTTTTAGTATCAAAGTGCCTGGTTTAAATTAATTGGCTAAAATCAAACTTGTCTTGACAACAAAACAAAACTGCGGCTTAGCTGCTAACTGTATTACCTTTGCAAATGTTACAGTTCAGATGCTCTGTGCACCTGCAAACCAATAAGCTGCCCATGGACGTTTTTTTCTCTCCAAGCCTAGAAAAAGCACATAATCTTTTAAGGGGACCACACACTGCCTTCTCCCTCCCCATCATTTTACAAACATCAATATTTTAAAAATTCCAAATTCTAATGTCCTGCTTTCCAATTCAGAAGTACCCTATCCACCTTCGCAACATTTGAGTGTATTCATGATTGTAAATTCCACAAGCTGACTTCCCTCAGTTAAGAAATGTTTCTTCATCTCAGTCCTAAGTGGCCTGAAAGTGAGAGCCCTGGTTCTAGACTCGCCAACTAGGGCAGACATTCTCCCTGCATATAGTCTGTTTAGCTGGTTAGAATTTCATATGTTTAATCAAAGTCCCTTTGATTTTTCTAAACTCTAATGAATACAGTTTGATCAAACTACTCTCCTCGTACAAGAGTCCTACCATCCCCAGTATTAGTCCAGTGAACTTTTGCTGCACTTCCTCTATGATAAATATATCCTCTCTTTGGTAGGGAGCCCAAACCTGCATAGAGGGCCCCAGGTGCAGGTTTTCCAAGGCCCTGTAGATAGTTTCTTATCAACCTGTTTGATGATGTTGTAGGAACACCTCTACAGCAGGTGCAACTTGATCCTGGCTCTGAGATAAGGACACTCGCTATACCCTTGGCTTACTACTGGTTTCCCATCCAACTTGTAACCAAGTCTGAGTCTGCTTAGTTTTTGACATCAGGTGTTTTCATGCTAGTATGGCAAAACTAAGGCTTTGTATAAATGCAGCAGTTGACACAGTTCTGACAATGAGGACATTGCCAGAATTAATCCCTGATCTGTTCTGAATCAACTGATAGCAGCTGTATTTTGAGAAGAATCAGTATTGTTTGTAAGATGGAAAGTGTGAAATTGCTTTGGATTTTTGCTCCTGCAGGAAAATAACATGTAAATAAAATGATGTGGCATCGTTGAGTGGGTACTGCATTGGAATCAGTCGAGATATTTCACATTGTAGAATATCTAATCTGACAGTAAATAGCTTTATCTCTGAAATACAGACATTTTGATGAATTGTTAAGAATTGGTACCAGTAAGAGTCAGTGGTTATGAAAAATGGTCAAGAGCCTTTAGTTAAAATATTTAATTAAGAGAAATCAACAAAATAAAAAAGAGAAAAATATAGGACTAGTGTGTTTTAAAACATTTACTCTGAGGCCTGAAATAATAACTTCTAATTTTTTGCTAGGTACCTGTATCTGGATGGAGAAAATCATGTTGAAATTGAGGTTCCACGAATTATAAGAGTTCAAGTGCTAACTGAAGGTTTTACTCCTGGAGGTAAATTTATGAAGTAGATGTAGGTTGGACAAGTAATTGATTTCAGCAGTAACCTATACTTTATTTATAATAAAATTTAATCTGCAGAAATGCTGTTTTTTAAATTGTCGGGCACAGATAATTAGTACCTGGGTGGACCTTGTATAGTAATAGTAAATGGTAGAGTATCATCTTCAGAAGGAGTTTGCCATGGTTTGAAGTCCCACCATCAACTAGATAAGTTAGTTTTGTCTTGTTAGGACAATGCCTCGTAGGAAGAAAAGTTGCTACGTTGTCAATTACTGAGGTGTGGAGTAATGTTAGAAATCCATGCACTGGAGTAACCATTCCCAACTAAAGCATGCATCTGAGACTGGATTTTTGTTTTCAATTGAATTTGGTTAGCTGCTTTTATAACATTATTGTAATGTAGTTAGTAGTGTTTGTATATTGAATTGGAAGGTGGAGCTCATATTTTCCTGATAGAATGGCCTGAAACTAATCCTTCTTTTCAATGCCTGCTGCTGCCTATCGTCTTGGTACAGAGAAAGATATTCACACTTACACCAGCCTACTGGAGAATCCGTACATTACAGAAGGTTAGAAGTATGATTGTCATCTTTGCCAATAGCTCATCATGTGCCCATCTCCCTATATATGGCCTTTAGGAGCTTGGCTTGTCATTTACTATATACTTAATGCCTTGCTATTTTATTTCTGTGAGCAGTGTCGCATGAAAGTTGAGTTGTTCTTGCTGACTTCGCATTGTAAATTACAAGGCAAACTCCTCAAAATCCTTAATGTTTTTTTCCTTTCTTTGTTTGCTTTAGTTTGCATATATATTTACTAACAATCAGAAATTGCACTTTTTCTGCTTCCAAATATACCGTGTTAACACCTGTGCTTTGACTCAGTATGTTATAATCTAGTCCATCATCCTTTTTGTATATCGTGTTCCGAAAGACTGACAGTTTTGCAGTTACTTTAGGCTATTTTGAAAATTTTTTAAAAGTTGAACCAGTCATGTTGCGGATAATTGGAAAGCAACCACAAATATTTTTAGGATACTACAGTTTTTGTGTGGTTAGATGTCGTTCAAGGATGTACATTCATCATGGTCCATTGAGTTGCTGATTTTTTTCACCTCTGCCTTGTGCAGAGTTGGCCACTTTCAGCAAAGGTTCTTTTCATAAACTGGTCGAGGTGGAGTCTGGGGCACCCAGGTTTCCATTGGTGATTGATTGATTGCTATCCAGCGCCAATTGAACAGAGTTGATGCTGAGTGAAGAAAAAAGTCGAAGCAATTCTGATGACCTCTAGTTAAAAGTCCTATGAACTTCATTGAGATGTGAGTGTGTACTTGGAAGAGGTATTAAAAGTTTGCCCACTGTTTTTACATGTGTGTATCCTTTATCTGAGAAAAATAGTTAAATATTAGTGAAAATAGTTTGTTTTAAAAAATGTTATCAAGCTGACACGTGCTCTGCTTTTGCAGTTATGTTTCTTTTGGTGCTGCTTGTCTATCCAGTGAATTCAGTTGTACATTCAGTCATTCAGATACAAGGTTCCTCCTTGTTAAGCTGAATGAATCATTTGTGTCACACAACATCTATTCAATACTTCAACCATATTTTATACCAAATTATGTCTTAAATCCTTGTAATGCCAACCGTTATTTTGTAAACACAGCTACATACCAAACACACTGAATCACAGGAAGCAGTTCTGCTGGATTTCTGTTGAGATTGTTATTTCTATATTTTGCATTATGTCATTGGAAAAAAGAACAGTAAAACTAATGTTCATGGAAGTAGATGTTGTATTTTCTTGGGAAATGTTGGGTGGAATGATGCAAAGAAGTAATTTAATAGCTGCTTTTAACAGAATTTTAATAGATATGATTTCATCTGTACAATTTCAGGAGGTAATACACATGCCACAGGGATGCTTGTCCAGTACAAAACCTTAGGTTCCCAGGAACCAAAACAACTGAAGTTGAGTGCATCTGATGATTTCAATAGTAACAAGAAAGTGTCAGTTGGCTGGTTGGCTGCTATGCATAAGGTAATGTCTAACAGATCTAGTAGAATATTTTGTCAAAGTATTTAAAACAAAAACTGGTGGAGTCTTTCAATCTAGAATTCTAATGTTCTTAATTTTAAGTATAGCATTTTTGAATCTAAAATTGGTTCAGGAATTGAGGGATAAAAGTCCTGAAACAAGATTGTGCACAGGACACTTGGTTGTCCTCCAATTGATCAGTTAGTTGTATGTTTAGGAAGAGGTTTACTCGATCCTGACAATCAAACACTAATAATCAAATGCGTTGAATTCAGGTTGCTACATGTAGGTTATGGTTGCAGTTTTTCAAAGTTCACACCTAAAGTTGATTTAAAGAGTAGAGAGGTCAAGATGGTATCTGATTTCCATGGAAAGAAAATGGATTGAGTCCTAATAAAACATAAGAAGTAGAAGGTGGCCATTTGGTTCTTCACATCTCTTTCACCATCCAATATGATTATGGGATCATGGCTGATTGACTTGTGGCCTTGAGTCCAGTTTTTTTTTTTCATGTTGATTCTGGAGTGAATAATTGTAAGAATCCCTCAGATAACTCCCCTGAAATTCTTTGAAATATATTTTGGAATGTTTTGCATGCACCCAAGGAGGCGGATATGATCTCTGTTTCTGAAAGATGATTTCATCGAGAATGCGTTTCCCCTTCAGTAGTGCACCTAAGTATCAGCCTTACTTTTTGGATTCAAGCCCTGGAGTGAGAGTTGAACTGGAAGCTATGTGATTCTCAAAAATGCAACCACGTTTGGATACAGCTGACATTCAGATGGTTGAAAATGTGTATAAAGGCAATTCAACAATGTTTTTGTATTCCGAATAAGAGATCAGTTGTGGGCATGGGGGTAAAGAGATTTGTGTTTATTGTGAGCTGTTGTCAAATAAGCTGATTAGAGGTAACTGCTGCTATTTAAAAACAAAAAAAAGGTTTATGTATTGTTCTGAGACATTTAATTGAGACAGTCAATAAAGTTTGTCTTATCTAATAGACTGTTGAAGGAATTTGAGTATGGACACTTTAATTTTCCAGTCTTATCACTAGAGTGTAGGAATAGCTCTTGGTGGAGCACAGTTCTGTGATTGAGCAGGTGCCTGGAAATGATTGCAAGTATTTGCAACTCTCAGGTTGGCCTGAGATATGTCGATCTGTTTTATTTTTTAAAATGTTGCTTTAAAATACTCCTCCCATTAATATAGTAAACTGGATTAAAATTGATCTTTTGTGTATCGACATACAAACGTCAAGAGGCCAACTTGGTCTAAGAATATTTGATAAGGTTTCAGTATTAAATGATGGCCACTTGTGGATTTTTGTGTAGAAAAAAGCCTTTCATTTATAATGCCTTTCATATCCTCTGGACATCCCAAAGTACTTTGCAACACTTTAAGGTACTTTGTTTGCTGTAATGTGGGATCATGACTGCTAATGTACAGTCATCTGTTCCATTTAATATTGGTTGAAGTCTAAACATTGGCCAGGACACTGGGGAGAACTTCCTGCTCAAATTGTTCCATGGATCTTTTTATATCCATCTGAGACCAAAGACAGGGCCTCCATGTAAATTCTCATCTGGAAAACAACACTTAAACTGAAATATTGTTCCATTAATACACTGAAGTGTTTCCTTGATTTTGTGTCAGATCTCTGGAGCAAAACTTTACCCAAAATCCATGTAAATAACAGTTCCTTTGTTTTAGCAACTTCTGTTATACTACGTAACCAGTTATTTTCCCATGGCATTAATAAATTCTTATATTCACTAGAGGATGACCACTTGTTTTAAATGGAGTCTGGTAACAGTTGCCAACTATGTAATTTACATATCAAGTTCCCTGGTGGTAAGTTAACAGTATGTGTCAGTGACTGGATCTTTCCTGTTTAAGTTGAGGAAGCAGGATGATAGAATGAATTTTGCCAAGTGCTTCAACAGGTTAGCTATACTCTGGGTAAGAACTAAGTGTCTGGAGTTTTGGTTGATTTTGCACCTCAGTTTCAAGTGGAATCTAGCATTTGGTCATTCTGCTAGTAGCTGACCTATTCCATTCAAGTGTGAGCTATGGCTCAGCACACTCCCCTCCGAGTTAAATTGTCATTGGTTGAAGCCCACGGATAGTCCACCTAACCTACACATCTGTGGGCAATTTAGCATCCTTGAACTGGGAGGAAACTGGAGCACCCAGAGGAAACCAACCTGGGCACAGGAGAATGTGCAAACTCCACACAGACATTCGCCTGAGGGTGGAATTGAACCTGGGATCTGGATGCTGTGAGGCAGGAATGCTAACCACTGTGCCATCCAAATTGGAAGATGGGGTGTGGGAGAAGAGATGATGCACTTCAACCCCTCTGGCGCCCACCTTGCTGTAAAAGCTAAGAGCGCACCTCCTTATTTTAAAATATTTTCTAAACAACCAGGTCAGAGATGTTATGACACACCACCATAACATGTGGAACTTGAACCTGGATGTGCTGACTTAGAGGTAAGGACACTATCATGGTGCCACAGGAGCCCCTTTTAAGAAAATGGGCATCACTTGCTCTGTCAACTGCGGAGCTGTTCTGTTTGATTCTTGAAGGGATGTGCATTTCTAATACCAATGTTGCATTGTCAAAGGTGCTACCTTTCAGATGGGATGTTAAACCAAGCCCCAAACTGTACATTGAGGGTGTAAAAGGTCGCATTGGCATTATTCTTAAAGTGTAAGGGAATTATTCTGGGTATCCAAGCCACAATTTATCCCTCCAACACTACCATTGTTAAAACAGATTTTCTGCTCATTATGTTGTTGTTTGCTGTTGTCATGTTTGCAAATAGGCTTCTGTGTTTCCTAAAGTAATCCATTAGCTGTAAAATACTTTGGAATATCCTGAGGTCATGAAAGGTGCTAGAGAAATGTAGGTGTTTTTTTTACCTATCCTTTATTCACTTGTCATTTGGATATAAGTGGCATTATAAAGAATAAGTTTTCTCTTCAATCTCAGAGGGATATTCCTCCTATTGAACCGAACTGAATCAACCACTGACTGGATTTGCACCAATTTGTACTTCAGTTGTGGACACTTGTGTTGTCAGTCACTGACTCACTTCACATGGAGTCTTTACTGCAATCAGAATGGACAAACTTGTTTCAACAATCCTGGCTACATTTGGACAATATTGCCCAAGAAAGAAATAATGAACAAATCCTGTACACTCCTACATGTAGCAAAAAATACTTTCTAGATGGTATGAAGTTAAATACAGTGCATGCCCAAAGAGACATGGGGGTTCTGGTGCATCATTTTTAAAATGGCTCAAACAGTTGCAGAAAATAATCAGGAAAACTAATGGAATGCGAGCTTTTATATCTCGACGGCTCGAGTACAAGGATGCAGCAGTTATGCTGCATTTATACAAAACTCTGATTAGACCCTACCTGGAATACTGAGCAAATCTCAGCACCACACCTTAGGAAGGATATATTGCCCATGAAGGTAGTACAATATAGGTTTACAAGAATGATACCTGGACCTCAGGGGTCAAGCTATGAAGATAGATTATGCAAATTAGGCCTGTTTTCTCTCGCATTTTATGGGGTGATCTGGTGGAAGTCTTCAAGATATTAATCAGGAAAGACAGGGTACATAAAAGTAAACTAGTTCCACTGCTTAAGGATTCTATAACTAGGGGACATAGTCTGAGAATTAGAGCCAGACTGCTCAGGAAAAATGTTAGGAATTAATTCCACGTACAGGGTATTAGATAGTTGGAACTTTTTCTTCCAAAAATGGTGGTTGATGCAGCATCAGTTTTAAATCTAAAATAAATTCTTGTTAATCAAAGATATTAAGAAACAAAGGCAGATAGATGGAGTTAGGCTGTAGATCAGCCATGATCTTATTGAATACTGGAACAGGGTTGAGGGGCTGAATGGCCTACTATGTTCCTAAAACTGACAACTTGGCCTTTGAATTGGTTGTTTTCCTACAAACTGCAGTAAAACAGACATTTGTATGAGTGAAAACTAATGATGCTGTTTTTGTTCCATCACCCACCCCCAAAATACATACACGCACACCCCCACCCCACCCCCATCTGAACCCAAATCCTTAGGCTGCCAAGCTCCTGTATGAATCAAGAGACCAATAACCATGGAAAATATCAAGATTTAATGTCACACTGAAGACAAATGGGAAGAAACAGCATTTTAACCAGTTTTACCCAAGTTTTTTTTTTTGCTCACTGCTTTGATGTACAGTGAGGTTTTCTTAATACTTTTTTGTATTAATGTAATTTTCTGAAAACACTTAGAATGCAACAAATGATTCAGATTTTTTGGTGCATTGAAGTATTCTCGAAGTACGGTGCAATATGTAGAATTTACAATGTCTTAAATGTAACTTTCACAGGTAAATTGAACTTTGCTAAGTATTTTTGTTAAATCTATTTTTATCTCTAACTGAAAGCTGCGGTGTAAACTGCTAAAATAAAACACCTTTTTGTTACAGAATGCAGTTCTGATGTAGATTGCTTTATTTTATTACATTATCAAAAGTATATAAATTTATAAAATTGGATTAAGGAAAGTGGAAAATAACTACAATTTGCATTTAGCTTCAGAAAAGCTTAGACTGCAGCTTTGTACTCAGCAGGTGATTTTTGCCTTTAGTGATTGAGGGAAAAGACAATGTTTACATTTTAATTTTTTGGCAGGAAATGCTAAAATCAGTATAAAATTACTTTGTTCAGAAATGCAGTGTTGCTTGCCTTTTCCCTCCAAAAAAATGAAATTTCATTTTGGTATACCAAAGGATTTGTACATATTTAATAATTTGCATAACTGTGTCTGTTCTTGTGCTCATACTGCAACTGTGTGATAATAAGTAGGTAACAATTTCAAATAGTCTTATTTGATAATCAGTGATTTATATTTGGATGTAGTATGAAAATATCCATGGTGGCTATTCGGAAATCAAACAAAATTATTATGACTTGATTAAAAATAAAAACTTTATGCAAAGTAGCCTAAACCCTTAATTTTGACTGAATCACCAATAAATGTAGAGGAGATGGCTAGTAATATGGTAGATAGCTGAGGAATAACAAATTTGGAAAAACTGATACTGATGCACAAACCAATTTCACAGTGACCTTTTCTGTTCGTGTGAAGTAATTCTGAAAATATTAGCAACACAGTTTGATTTGAGAAAGGGAGTGCTCTGTGCTTTGTAGTTTAGTTTCCTGGACCAAATGGGTGTGAAACGGCTGGTTGTGTGGAGACTTGATCTTAATTGAATGCCTGCACTATCAGTTCATTTTTCATGTTTTATGGCCATCTTGGATTAATGTAATTATTTGAACAGCTTCTGTGTAACATTTATCCTTACTCAATAAAACATAAACAAAAGCCTGTGCAGGTGCTTGTGATGTTTTAGTTGGCTTCAGTTTTTTTTTCTAAATGTGTCAAAATCAATTTTATTTGGAACCCTGAAGGCTTGATAGCAACGGGAGAGGTAGACTGATGTCGTTGCTAGAATTAATGTTCTTCTGTCCCTTCTTAAGTTGTCTGATCTGGAGAGATAGCAAAGGATTGCTGAATCTGTGTCACATTTCAATCCTTTTCCTTTCTTGGGTCTGAAGCAAGAGATTTTTATTTACTCCTTTCCTTTTACTCAGGTTCCCTTACTGAGGTAGGCTTAAGTGTGTTACTCAAACCCTGACTTATACCTCTTGCTCAGCAAAATTCTTCAAAACAAAATCAAAAATGGGGTTCATTGAATACTTTTGTAAAGTGCAAAGGGAAGTATTTTACAACTCCATGCTAACACACAGACACATTAAGGAAGAGTGAGATAGATAGATAATAGGTTTTGGAAATTCCAATGGGGTCAATAACTCAAGTGACTTACACCTCCTCAAGGGTTTCCTTGAGGAGCTAGGCCCAGTATTTTCCATTCTAGGCAAAGTTTGGACTTTATGCAGTCTGCAACTTGAAGACAAAAATGAAGGGTCTGTGGCTGTCTGCCAACAGCACCAGGAATCCTGCTTTTCTTCTAGCTAATTGAAATTGAAATTCTAAATCAGAATTTCAATTGTATTTAAGCAATTCAGCAAGCTCTGATTTTAGGCATCTTAAAATCTACATTTCAGTTGCTGCAATATAATGCAAAAATTTATTAAGCTAATATATAGCTTAAGTATAGATTACATTTCCCCCCCTCAATTTCGATTGCGAGGTGAAGAGGTAACAAAGCATTCGTGCCCATTTTAAAGTGTTTTGATGTTTGAAGGAGACAGCTTGCCTCTCAGCCTCTGGCAGCTTTAGCTGGAATGTCTGCACAATTCAGGGGATTCAGAAGCTTCTGGAAATACAACCATGCGATCAGCCCTCAGCCATTTTAGAAGTCCAGAAAGGTTGTTTCTCTAAGAAACAATTTAAGCACCAGAATACAGTTTGATTATGGGGTGGTGGAATTATCTTCACATCTTCTGACATGGATGCAGAATTAGAAAAGAAACAGCAGTCCTGACCCAAAAAGTCACCTTTCCTGCTCCTGATGCAGCCTCACCTGCTGTGTTCCTTCAGCTCCACAGTCTTAAAGCAGCTAGCATAAAGTCATTTCCTGCATTTAATTCATTCCCAGTTGCTGAGAACTTGCGTGACTCTTGGCAACTAAATTTGAATGACCTTAAAAAGGTCAAATGCTAATATTACAAGGGTCTAATGGCAAGGTTAGCAAGGCTCATCTTAAAAACTGGACGTGCGAGGACAGCCCTGACTGACGACAGCCCTGACTGACCACAGCCCAGCTATCTGACGGATGTCGACACAGCTCTCCAAAGGACTTACCTGTGATCCCTGGACTAGTTGGCCTTGACTTAAAGAACTACTTTTTTCTAATCCCAAAACTGTATGGACACAAATCCCTGGACCCTGGTCACACCAAGTGCCTGACTGACCACAGTCAACTATCCAGACTGAAATCAGACAAGTCCTTTTGAGTGTTGCTGAAACCCTTTACTGACTAGTGTTCCCTCCATGAAGAATTGATCTCCTTGAGCTTTCATACATGGTGACTTGATTGAAGCATATGCAGTGCATTTGCCACAAAAATTGTCAGAACATGTACGTACAATATCAACATAGCCCACTGCTGAGTAGCAATATACCAACCTCCTCAACTGTTCAGTGCTGACAAGGAGCCCACCTTTCTGACTGCAATAAAATGTAAGCCAGAGATAAAATGTATCCAAGAACAAAGTAAGTTCTTTAGGAAAGCAAGCTCAGAGCCATAAAACGCACCCTGTGCATCAGATTAACGTGTATCCCTGAGCATAGAGTGAATTGGCAGGAGGACTGCAATGTCAGGTGCCAGTGAACTCCAAAGTGCATTAGTGAAGTGCTGAAACATCTTCGGAGATAGTTGAGCAGATGTTTGCCAATGCTGATTTCCTATGAAGGATGGAGGTGATCACTGCTCATGGAGAGTGGAACAAGACTGTGAAGAATACGTCTTAGCGTGAAGGCCTAGAGAAGCATCTGGCAAGTTGCATCCACCAGGAACTGCTCTGACTTTCAACTCAAATTGACGCTGTCAGCTTCTCACCAATGTATGGGAGAACTGCAAGCTACATAAAAATAATAGGGATTAGCTAATAAGTTGTCATCTGTTAACAAGATTCAGAATTCACCCTTAAGGGAAAATCTAACCTTCTTTTCCCCAATGACAAGAATCAGATTTTGTAATTCTATATATTTTGCCATTGTTCACACCACTCAAGGGCTGGGAAAATTCTGCTCATTATCTCTATGATCTTAATGCTGAAATAACATTTCTTTCTAATACAATTGCAAAACAATGAACTTGCAGCTGAACCTAAATGTTGGACTAGATTTTTGACCAAAGCTGGTGCAAGTTTGATGGGAACCAAAAAATCTTGAGCCCATTGAAATTTTGAACAAATGATCTCGCAAACACTTGCTACATTCTCTGTTCAATTGGGATTGAGAGGAGCCTATAGCCTAGGTTTCTAAGAATGGAATAAAAATACAAACATTTCTAACATCTTTGTGGGAACAGTTAATATTTCATTCAAGTTGATGACTTTTCAAAGCTTATGGAAGTGTTAAAAATGTGTCAGGTTTGAAGCAAGAACAGAGGTGAGGGAAGATAACAAAAAGGAAGATCTGTAATGGAATAGATGATAGGAGAGGGGCAAAATATTGGGATAAATAAAGAAACAAAAAGGTGAATTAGAGGAATTGTAATTGAAAATAGCAGTAAACGGCTGTGCAGAAAAGGCACAGTTTGGTAAGAGGCTATGTCCTGCAATTACTGAACTCAGTGAATCCAGAAGGCTATTAAGTGCCCAGAAGGAAGAGTTGATGCCATTGCTTGAGCTTTTTTTTGCAGCCATATAAACTTATTTTAGTTTTGTGCTTATGAAATTGTGGACTGAAATGGTAAAGAACTGTTCTAAAACCAGTCTTTAAAAGGATTGCTGCATGTTTTGAAAACCATATACGTATGGCAAACATTGTGTAAACACTTATTTGATCAATAAGTAATTGAAGTGGTTGCAAACTATTTGGGACAAGAGGTTATGACTACAGATGAGGCAAGGTGGCAACAAGTTGTTGATTGGTTTATGGGCTAGTGACCAGTCATCAATGACAAAATCCTTCTGCCTATCAACAACCTTGTATTTGGCTCTCAGGTAACTGAACAACTAGAGGCTGTGAACCAAGGGGGCGGGGAGAGAAAGAAGTCTGCAGTCAAAACCTATTTTAAACTTGAAGAAAACCAGTTCATCTTTCCTACAGCAGTTATTGTAACGTGGGGTGATAAGTCAGATACATTTTAGAAGCGAACCAGCAGAAAACCAGTGGAAGTACCCAGAGAAAAACAACCGAAATCATTCTGACCAGCAAAAGAATCACAAAGATCATTCAGCAGTCTGTGAATAGGAACTACTGAACTGCCTCCCAGATTTCCTCTGCCCACAATCTATTTTGTCCCGTCTGTTTGAGAGAGAGACAGACAGAGAGAGAGAGAGAGAGAGAGAGAGAGAGTGGGAGTGCTCAAACAAAAAAAAAAAAAATCACAAAATGATGTCTGTGACCTGCTTCAGAATGTTGTTAAAAAAATACATTGCAACCTGAGCTCGGTGCCAAGGCAGCCCCCATAAGTCTCTGAGAGGGCAACCCAATTTGACAACTTTAACATGTACCACCAGGCCAGCTACCAGCTAGCTGGCAAGTACCCAGGAGTGCAAACCCTTACCGAGCCTTACTGTACGGCCAGAGTTCAGGTTCCTTCCTGCCACCTTCCCAAGGCAAACAGAAACTGTTTCGGTCCACCTCCTCCTCAGTTTTTGGTGGCAGATACCTCTCCCTAACCAATCAAGAGGTGTTGCTTAAGCTGTTCAGGGCCCATACTCCTACTTGTCTCCGATTGCCACAGCCATCCAGAATGCTATCACTATGAAGATGACTCTCAGCCAGATCTATCAGCATGAAGCCACAAACATCCACTTCTACAAGAACAACAACAAAATCAAAATGTGACCAATTCTGGAATTTAAGCACAAAAAGTTAGAGAACGTCAGTGGGTGTGGCAGCATCTGAAGAGAAAAACATGGTTAATATTTCAACTCTAGTATGACTAAATTGTCACAACCTGTCCCGGAATGACTGCTTTAAAATGGTACCCAGGGGTAAGAATGATCCCAGTGCGAGGTACCTAAGATATACTTGCCTTAGACAGGGGTGCAAAGGCAACTCACTAGGGATTCCTGGGATGAAACGGTGGTAATATGGACAGAGATCGAGTAGACCGGACATGATCTCTGAAGTTGAGGAATATGAGGTACTTATTGAAACACAAGATTCTGGGAAGTTTTAACAAGGCAGATACAGAGATGGAGATAGTAGGAACTGCCGATGCTGGAGAATCTGAGATAACAAGGTGTAGAGCTGGATGAACACAGCAGGCCAAGCAGCATCAGAGGAGCAGGAAAGCTGACGTTTCGGTTG